GACAAAAATAAGGATTTGCTAAATTTAATTTAGGTTATGTTTTTTATATTTGGGAAAAAAATATTTCAAGATTCACCAATTTCAAAATTTATATGTTATTTAATACTATATTAATATTAAACTATTAAAATTTATTGAATAATCAGATTTCTTGAATAAAAAATCCTCAAAAATTTCAAAGTAAACGCGTTTTCCATTTTTATGTTTTCGGAAACAGTTTTTCAAAATGACAAAAAGAACGCATTTTCAGAAATTTCAAAACAGACACTCAAAACACAAAACAGAAAACGAATTCAAAACTCAAAATACAAAACTGAAACACGAAGAGAACTACCCCTAAACTTTTAGCGCAATCTCAATTGGATTATTTAACTTTAGTCCCTGTTTGAGCCACATTAAAATTTTCATTATCATTATTTTACTCATTTTCAATCACACATTTTTCAATAAAATAATATTTTCTATCACATCAATAATTTTTACTTCTTTCTCAACCACATATTCTTCATCAATCTATTATTTCAAAATACGTTCTTCCAAAATAATGTGATTCAAACACACCCTTAATTTATTTCAATTGAATTACAAAACTTTAATTTTTAAAAGTAATTTCAAAATTCACCCTCTATCACATTACGAAAGTTTCTTACTTTGTAGCCAAATCACAACTGATCTTAATTTATTTCTACATTGGTACCTTAGATTAAAGTGTTATGATACGTATCATTTTGTTTAACACTTTATGTGTGTCAGAGTGATAAGTTGGCATATCGTACAATAACTATGTGAAATATTCACTACAATAAAAGATTGTCAATTAACGATTTTTATCAATTTTGGTGACGATGTGTAGAGATGGCAAAAAAAAACCGCCCCGCCCCGAATGGGGTGAAAAAAATTGCCCCGAACGAGTTGGCGGGGCGGGGCAAGGAGGGGCGCCCCGTCTCGGGTCTCGGGGTGGGGTGGGGTGGAGATGCCCTGCCCCGAACCCGCCCCGTGAACTATTAAAAAAAAATATCAATGTATTCTCTACTAGAATACATGAAGAACAAATGTTTTTTGGAAGTAGAGTTATAGATGTATGTTCTTAAATTTGATGAACAAATATTTTTTGGAAGTAGAGTTATCTTTT